CCCCCCTGTCGTCTCTAGATAGCCGCCTGAAAGGTAGGCAATTTGCACCACAAAACCCCTGTATGTAGGCAACCGACAGTACATCGCCCCCCCTGTCAGCCGGACCTTAATCCGCCACTGCCTCCTCCTCCTTCCCCTCTCTCCTCCTCCTCCTCCCCTTCTCTCCCCCTCTCTCCTCCTCCCCATCTCTCCTCCTCTCCCTCTCTCCTCCCCATCTATCCTTCTCCCCATCTCTTCTTCTCTCTCCCCGTCTCTCCTCCTCTCTGCGCTTCTCTCCCCCTGTCTCCCCCTCTCTCATCTCTCTCTCTCTCTCTCTCTCTCTCTCTCTCTCTCTCTCTCTCTCTCTCTCTCTCTCTCTCTCTCTCTCCCCCTCTCGTTCTCTTATCCCGTCTATCCTCGCGCCTGCGCGGGCGCCTCTTTGCCGGCGGAAGAGGATAGATTGCCTGGCTGGGATGGTCGCCCAAGGCCGTGGTGCTTGTTATGTAGGCCAGGCGGCCGCTCTATGCGCGGCCACGCCGGGCCCGCCGCATGGCCCGCCGGCTCTGGGGCATCATGTTCGCGAGAACGAGAGCCTCCTATTTGCAAACTTGTGCGTGCTATATTTTTGTAAGATTGTGTTTTGAGTGGTCGTGAGAAGTTCACCCCAGTGGGTCACATCATTGCTTTGAAATGACTAACCTCACTGCCTCGGTTAACTCATTTTAGAGGCCCCAGAAAAAATGGAAAAAATATAAAACATTGGAACAGGTACTACTCCCTCATGTAACTGTCGTGTGTGTATGTAATTGTTTACCGCGAGCGAAGGGTCTCCTCCTGACTCTGGCAGCCTGCGCGACAGTCCTCGCCAACAGCGTATGGACATCGCCCCAATTGGATCACCTCCTCTCTCTCTCGCTCTCTCGCCCACCGCTCTCTTCCTGCCCATCCCCCTCCCTCCCATGGGCGCCTTTTTCTGCCGCTAAATTTAACATGACCACGCCAGCGGTACAACCGCCAGCACGGCGACGACGGACAGGGGGGACGTGTGCCCTCGCCCCCCACCCCTCTCCCCCAGGGTGAAAAGCGCGGCCCGAGTAAGAAAGCGGAGGTGTGAATCGAGGAGTAAGGGTAAGTGGGGGGGGGGGGGCAGGGGCTGGTGCTAAACAACCACCGCACCACGACCTCGACCACGATCACCACCACGACCACCACAACCACCACAACCACCAGCACCACCACGACCACCGCCACGACCACCACCACCGCCACAATTACCACCACCGCCTCGACCACCACCACGACCACCGCCACGACCACCACCACCACCACCACCACCACCACGACCACCACGACCACCACGACCACGACCACCGTCAAGACCACCACCACCATGACCTCTGCCGCCAGCTGATGGTGGTGGAGGGTGCGGGCGGGTACCGCTGCGGGTACCACCCTGGTACCCTCCCCGCGCGCCCACCTCTCCCGGCCCCGCGCCTGGTCGATAGCTCGCTCCGCCCTCGCTGCAGCAGCTCGCCCCGCCGGCCCCGCCCCGCCACGGCGGGCTGCTGCTGCTGTCGACTCAGTCGCGCCGTGGACTCGCAGTGACGCGTGTCGCGTCGTGCTGCCGCCGCCATACCGCGCCGTGGTCCAGGACTGCCTCGTCGTCGTGATGCCGTGCTCGGCCCCGTGCGCTACCGGCGGTGGCCTCGACGGCGGCGGTTAGAGGCGCTGGAGGCCAAGGGCGTCGTACAGCGCGACCTGGTTTAGCTCGGCGCGGCTGCTGCTGCTGCACTAGACCTCGACCTCGACCTTGCGCCTCCCCGCGGCCCCCCACGGCCTCCCACGGGGGCGCCTGCAGCCCCTGCAGCGACGGCCGAGAGGCCCCCCGGACAACATGTACAAGAAGGAGAAGCCCATGATGTCGGTGACGGCTATCATACAGGGGGCCCAGGCGGGCGTCTGGGGGCGGTCTAGTAGTGGCGGTGAGTGTGGTTGTGTATGTGTGTGTGAAGTGGTAGTGAAGTGGCCGTGAAGCGGGTAAAGTGGCACTGAGGTTGAAAGAGAAGTGGTGGTGAATTTGAGTGAACTGCTGTTGTTGAAATTGAGTGAAGTGGCGTTGAAGTTGTTAAGTGAAGTATGGATGTCAAGTTGAGTGAAGTGCTGGTGAAGTTGGGGATTAAGTGCTGGTGACGTTGAGGGTGAAGTGCTGCTGAATTCGCGGGTGAAGTGCTGTTTGATGTTGCTGATGAATCGGTTTTGAAGTTCTGTGGATTTGGGGCTGAAGTGGAGTCATGGTGGAGGTGTGTCGATGGAGTGATGTGTGGTGGAAAACTGTGTAGAACTCGTGCCTTCAAGAGTGCAGTGAAGTGGTAAGTTGGCGGAGGCTGGGCTGACCTGCAGTGCCTGCGTCCGCAGTCGATGAAGTATGGAGTGCTCCAGTGACGGAGTCGGGGAGTGGGGAGGATCCCCCTTTTTTTTGCGGGATCGATGGATGCAGAGTGAAGAAGGGCCATGGTGCCCGTGTGCTTCCTCTGCCATCGCTGAAGCTCTCTTTCCCCCCGTACAGTGAAAGCTTGCCCCCCTAGCGCCCCTGACGGCTTGCACAACGTGTTGTGACAGACTGATTTACACCGTTTACACCTGCGTTATCGCGAAGTGAAGAAGTGGCGCTCCCCTGGGGGGGGGGGGGGGCTCTCTCCATACAAAAGTGGGGAAAATCGTTGTGTTTGGTGGCGCCACACTTTTTTGAAAGTTGTTATACACATCAATGTGCAACGTAGCCAGTCGGGGCGGCCAGCCCAGTGTGTTGATGTCGGCGGGCGTGTGGGGTCTAGACTAGATTGGGGGGGGGGGCACATTGTATACACCATCGTGATTGTGATGAGAAAACTATCGTCTCTTGTCATACTACGTGTGTGCATTGTCTTTTATTACTATTTTCCCAGGGCGTTTAACATTTTTCCACCGCCGCCGCCGGACTGGAAAATTAATCTCTCGAGAAAACAAATGACGACGACTGTAAAGAGGAGGAGAATGAATATTGACTTTTCGAGGCTCATCTCGGGAGATAAAGTGACTGACCGGCGCGTCGCTGTAGAAATTAGAAGCTCAGCGCAGCGCGTCTGTCAAACAGTTCACGAGCCGACACACTCCTGTGATCGCCAATCCTGCATCACGTCACAAATGCTTACCTCTTAGTTTGCACTCTGCTAAGCACGCACTTTTATGCTCAGTTCGTTAGCTCGCGCTCGCCCATCATACTGGTACCTTTTTTTTTTTACTTTTTTTGGGAACTTTTGGATACAAACTTGTTTTAGCAGATGGCTGGGGATGTCCGCCTCGCGACGACGACCCAGATACACACCGGCCGCGTGGCATGGCACGAGGAACTGAATGTTTGTATAATTTAGTTATTATACCACAGTACCCCTCCCCCTCCCCCCCTCCCCCGCTCTCCGACCTCTCAGCTGCTTGAGGGGTTGACAGCCAGGGCATACTCAATTCGCGTCCATTTCTCCCGTTTGATTGGGGCAGTGATAGACGCCCAGCCACACTCTGTCGTCAACGAATTGAAAGAAAAAATCAACTCTGTGTTATGTGGACTTAATCGTCGTGTAACGTGAGCAGTAGTTTGAGGGAAAGAAAGGTCACTCAAATCACCTCTTTACGTTCTGCATTCGTTTCTTCGAGTTTCGTTTATTTTTTTGATTAAGTTAATTTTTTTTTAACCGCCCGGTCTCCACCCCGCTCGCCGGCCGGCGCTGGCGTCAGCCGTCGGATTTTGAGCGGAAAGTCGTTTCACCTTTGAAAGGTCGGCCGACTCGCCGCCCTCTCTCGCTTCGCGCTCCCCACGTGGATGGCTGAGGAGAGCGCGCGGAGCTGGTGCCAGTTTGTTTCTTTTACATTTTATTTTGTACTTGCTTTTTACCTGGCGCCTTCTTCTGATTTGTAGGAGGGTGTATTAGGTATGCCGTCCGTTTCCATTTCGTTTGATTCTTGTTGTTGTTGTGTTGTGTTTTGCTTGTTGGTGAATGTTGATGGAATATTTCTTGACGCCCTGGGAAAGATGCTAGCGAGTTTTTATTTTTGGCGTGGATATTTTTTTGCGTTTGTGATCATTGATGAATGTTGCTGATATATCAAACGTACAGAGTCCTGCAACACCAACGCCACCTTTCCAGATTTTTTCCCTTTAAATGAGGGTAAAAAAAAAAACTGTCTTTGACAGCGTCTGATCACTCTGTCAATTCTAATGAGTACATTGCACACTTTAAATAAAGTGTGGCATGTATGCTTTAATTAATGTGTACATGCCTGTGCCTATGTACACATTTATAAATGTGTACACATTATTTAAAGCATACGTTCCATGTACAGTATATTTTAAGTGTACAATGTACACATTTGAATTGACAGAGCATAGGTTAAGTTTCCTTGGTTGACATAAGGTGTTTGTTATATTTTATTTTATTTTTTATTTTTTTTTACCTTCGTCTCAAGGATACGATTTTCCGGAGGGCTTTGCCATCGGGGTGGACGACATTTCGCCCCCTGCTGTCAGTCAACCACCACCCCTCCAGCGCGCTCCCTGCCGCCTCGGCCGCTGGAGCGGAAATTAGCTGCGCGAGAGAGACGGAGGCGCGCAAGAGGGTTCGATCAACCCTTACATCGTCATTGCTGGGATTATCGCGTTAGTTGTTATCGTTATCGGGTGGCAATGTCGCACCCGAGGGGTATATGGACCACTCGGATTTTTATTGGTGTACATGAAATATCCGTAAAATATTTTTGGTTGAATTTCTAGACATTTTTTGATTACTTTTTTTAAATGTTTTATTGAAATTAATATTTTTGAGTGCGCGCATGGGATATCCAAGCGGTCCACCCCTCCGTCACGTGTGTGTGTAGGCCCTGGAGCGGCCGCGGGACCCAGCGCTATAGCTGCCCAGCCGTATTGCTGCAGCTGCACCACGCCCCATTGCAGCAGGCGCGGCGGCCAAGGTCACGGCCAGGAGCGCGTCGGTTGGGGGGGGGGGGCTATGGCACCCCCGCTGCGCTCGCGGGGGTGCGGCCCTTTGGGAGCGGGGAGTCGGGGGGTGG